AGTGTTCGCTCACCAAGTACTGTAGCCTCACATGCTCACGTGATACTTTGTTTTTTTCTATATTTTATTTTCTGCTCCCAATAGATAATTTGGCTTAGCATTAAAAAATCAGAACCATCCAGTGCCCGTTATGAATGTGGTCGAGGCACACTGGGTTGCAGGAAGGCCACAGAGACCCGAATCTTTCCTGGGCTCCTTAGTCAACCTTTGCTCTTTTCAGACAAAGTAAAGTTAGAAGCGGGTCTCTACTCTTACGTCTTTTAGAAACTGAAAAGCCAGGAGGCAATTTTGGCTTCTCCTCCTTTTGATCCCAAAATATATAAGGCTGGGCCAGTTATTTGGAGAAAGGTAGCGAAAGCCCAAGACCAGTTGCAAGATCTATATATGCTGTTTTTACCTCTTGTAATTTGAAGACCTTTGTGAGTTTGAATGCATACTGAATAGCTGGCCTATTCTTTGCTTTGAAATTAGCAGAGCTTCATTCCAAATAAAATGCTTAGCAGTGGGAGTGGGAAGCAGGTGACGAGTATGGTTTGTAAAATGCAAAATTAAGAGCCCCGTAATTGTAAACAGTTCCCTTAAACAGTGTTATAACAGAAAAGCAGTACCAGAACTGCTAAGCAAAGTTCTAGATGAGGCTGGATTTTAAAGCCATCATAGGTGTTGCTGCATGTTTTAATAGCATAGTATTACATTACCTTGAGCTAGGATTACAGATAGTCCTTGTTTAGTGACCACAACTGGGACCGGCAACTTGGTCATTAAACGAAGCAGTTGCTAAGTGAAACCGCGACTGTGCTTACAATCTGACTTCAGCTTTCCTTTGCTTTATGGACCTGCGGAGGTTATAAATGTGCGCACCGGTTTGCAAAGTTACTTCTTCATCACCATCATAACTGCGAACAGTTGCTGTATGAGGGAGTCACTAAACAAGGACTACCCGTATTTCAAAGACTTCATTCTGTTGTTGTTATGGAACACAGAATGTATTTGCTCTTCTGCCTTTATCTGCAATGGCTCTTTATATCAGTTATGGTTCCTTTGGTCACTTGTCCCAGAGCTAAGCAGACTGGAAGCATCTATATACAACTAAGCCAGTATTTACTATAATGGAATGAGAAGTCTCTACAACTTGAGTGATCATGATATGAAATTTCAAGTTTCTGCCTGCTGAATCAGCGCTTAAAATATTTGGCTCACCTAGCAAAACTCAGAAGAACTAAAACCACCTTATACCTGGATCCTGCTGTCTGGCAGCTCACAGCCAGCAGCACCTTTATGCATTTGCTTGCAGGCCATGCCCCCCACGCCCCCTTCGGACCAAGAGAAAAGCTGTCATATCAGGACGGCTTGGTTAATGGAGAATTTGTACTCCTTTAACTCCATTTCTTCATTCTCAGATTAAATGGAGTTCTTCTGTTGACATGTAAAGCTTCCGTTTTATTCCTCATGATTCAATCAAGAAATTAGGCAACTGTGTTTAAATTATGTGAAAGGAAGGAAGATTTGTGAAGAGAACAAGATTTCTTTGAAGAATTTAAGAATGATCTCCAGGGAAATGGAGTTTCTAGGGAAGTGGAAATGAAATATAAAGCTTTCCAAATTGCATATATTTATTATTGATCTGCAACCATCTTCCTACCTGTCCTTTTGATGTTCAGGCTCTTGTTTTTTGTTCGGTTTCATTATGTTATAGATATGAGTCTTGAGGAACACGTAATATATTCCCTGCAATCTCTCCAAATCCTCCAAACGATATGGGTTATGATTCAGAGTAAAAGGATAATAGATAAGAAAATGGATTCAATAATGTGCTTTTATAAAGGTTTATTTGGAATAGTTTCATGGAATATAGCGTATTTTTCCGACTATAAGACGATACTTTTTTCTAAAATCCTTACGATAAAAATTGAAGGGCGTCTTATGCAAGGAAGTCAGCTGAGGAGAGAACCACGCGGTTGCAAAACTGCGCATACTTTGTCTCTGCAAACAGGCTTCCTCCAATCACGAGCCTCCAATCACGAGTGAACCTGCCCATACTGTCTCTGCAAACAGGCTTCCTCCAATCACGAGCCTCCAATCACGAGTGAACCTGCCCATACTGTCTCTGCAAACAGGCTTCCTCCAATCACGAGCCTTATGTAACGGATGTCAGCTGATGCTGAACAAACCAATTGGAGGAAGTCTGTTTGCAGAGACAAGCTATCTATCGGCAGTTTCACTCGTGATTGAATGTAATCAGTTATGCAAAAGAA